GAAGAGGTTTCCCAGTTTTTACATTGGGGAGAACAGTGATCAGTGAGGAATTGGAGAATTCATACTCAGGGACAATGAGATGACCTGGAATCCTTATCTAAATCGTTACCCAATCTAAAGAAAACCTAAGACTTTGTTCATTTCTCTTTTTCTCTCTCACTTTTATAGTTAAAAATACTTTTCAACTAACCTCGCAATTCCACTTCTAGGAAAGTCCCTTGGATGGGTTCTGATTCAACTGCACAAGAAGACATGAACAAAGATGTTCAATGCTGAATTTTTTTTGTGTGTGTGTATCACCTAAGGTCAGGAGTTTGAGACCCACCTGACCAACATGGTGAACCCCACCCCCCGAATTTTTTATAATAGAGAAAAATTAGAATTGTCTTCAATGTCCATCAACTGAATAAACAGAATAGATAAATTGTGGTACAGTCATATATGAAATGCTATACAGCCATGAAAATGAATGAACAGCTAGGTATGGTGGCTCATGCCTGTAATCCCAGCGTGTTGGGAGGCTGAGGTGGGTGAATCACGAGGTAAGGAGTGTCAGACCAGCCTGGCCAATGTGGTGAAACCCTATCTCCACTAATAATAAAAAAAAAATAGCTGGGCATGGTGGCAGGAACCTGTAATCCCAGCTACTCGGGAGACTGAGGCAGGAGAATTGCTTGAACCTGGAAGGCACAGGTTGCAGTGATCCGAGACCATGCCACAGCATTCCAGCCTGGCCAACAGAGTGAGACTGTCTCAAAAAAAAAAAAAAAAAAAAAAAGAAAATGAATGAACAAGCATTACATATGTCTCAAAAAAATTAATGAAAAACAGCAAGAAAATAATATATATATGTATATATATATATATAGTGGCATACTATTTTGATATAGTTTTAAAATATAAAACAATTGTGCATAGTGCTTATGGATATAAACACATATAATAAAAGTGTAAACATTGGGCAGGAAGATACACACCAACTTGAAGGACACAGTTGCCTCTGGGATGTAGGCAGGAGATAAGTCCAGTAGTTTATTATTGCAATTATTTTAAAGATCTGAAGCAAATATGAAAAATTATGTTTGTTAAATCTAGATGGTGGGTCATGGGGACTTGCTAAATTATTTTTTTCAAATGTTTCTGTCTGTTTGAAACTTCATAGTTGAAAAATAAAGTTGTTCAAGCCACTGAAGCCTCTGGGTTTTTGTTGTTGTTGTTGTTGTATAGAGTCTCACTCTGTCACCCAGGCTGGAGTTCAGTGGTGCGATCTTGTCTCACTGCAACCTCTGCCTCTTGGGTTCAAGCAATTCTCCTGCCTCAGCCTCCTGAGTAGCTGGGATTACAGGCATGTGCCACCATGCCTGGTTAATTTTTGTATTTTTAGTAGAGACAGGGTTTCACCATGTTAGTCAGGCTGGTCTTGAACTCCTGACTTCGTGATCCACCTGCCTTGGCCTCCCAAAGTGCTGAGATTACAGACGTAAGCCACTGCACCTGGCCAGCCATTGAAGCCTCTGAATCAAAAATATATACATGAATTCCTTGGATAGAAATATCTGATAATGTATTGTCCTATTGTGAGATAAATGCAAAATTTAATGTTTCTCAGGTATGCTGACACACAGAAAACTGGCAGAAAGAATTTGCTAAGGGGTTAATAAAATAAAGTCCAAGGGCCAAGCACGGTGGTTCATGCCTGTAATCCCAGCACTTTGGGATCCAAGCAGGGAGAATGGCTTGAGCCCAGGAGTTCAAGGCTGCAGTGAGCTATGATTGTACCACTGTACTCCAGCCTGGGTGGCAGAGTAAGACCTTATCTTTCTTTTCTTTTTTTTTTTTAAGTTAAATTAAAAATTTTATATAACTTAAAAAATAGTGAGATAAAAATACTTCACTTAATTAGCCTGGCTTTTTAAAAACACACGGCAAAATAATTCTTTTAACTTTCTTCTTTTCTTGAATTTGCATAAAAAGTTAGAAAAGTAATAGGTATTCATTTAACAAGTCAGGCAATACAGAGACAGATAAAGAAGACTGTATCTCATCTCTCATTTCAATTTCCCCACCCACAAGTTAACCTAGGTTAGCAATTTGACATGTATCCTTTCACCCCTTTCTCTACAAAAATTTTAAAATAGTTTTGAGAAATTTTTCAAACCAATTTAATTTTTTATGTTATGTTATGTTATTTATTTATTTTTTGAGATGAAGTCTTGCTCTCCCACCCAGGCTGGAGTACAATGGTGTAATCACGGTTCACTATAGACTCCACCTCCTGGGCTCGAGTGATCTTCCTGACTCCTTTGGCCTTCTGAGTAGCTGGGTCTAAAGGCTGAGGCACTGTGCCTGGATAATTTTTTTCTGTTTTTTTTTTTTTTTTTAAGAGATAGATTCTTGCTATGTTGCCTAGGCTGGGCTCAAACTCTTAGCCTCAAGCTATCTTCCCATCTTGGCCTACCAAGCTGGGATTACAGGCATGAGCCACTGCACCTGGCCAATTCAATTTTTATAATTAAAAATAATTATTTTTTTTCATGACCAAAGCAATCCATAGTTGTTTTAGAAATATACAGAAAATGGCCAGCCACGGTGGTTCACACCTGTAATCCCAGCACTTTGGGAGGCAGAGCTGGGTGGATCACCTAAGGTCAGGAGTTTGAGACCAGCCTGGCCAACATGGTGAAACGCCATCTCTACTAAAAATACAAAATATTAACTGGGCATGGTGGCAGGCATCTGTAATCTCAGCTCCTCGGGAGGCTAAGGCAGGAGAATTGATTGAACCCAGGAGGCGGAAGTTGCAGTGAGCCGAGATCGCATCAGTGCACTCCAGCCTGGGCAACAAGAGCAAAATACCATCTCAAAAAAAAAAAAAAAAAAAAATCCAGAAAATTCAAGTGAGTAAAACCAAGGTAAAATAAAAGTATGTAAATGGGCATGATTTTAATTCATGGCTTGGGTAAAATACATATTTAAATCCTGAATCAAAGACTTAGGACAAATGCCACTTGCTAGCTGGCCCTGGCGAGTGGCTAGCTTACAGCAGTCACTTAATGATCCCCCAGGGGAGTCAGGCAGAATGGCGACACTTTAGGGAGAGTATAATTTGCGTTGGTAAATCACTAATCATACCCTGAGGTTTAAACTAGGGTGCCCCCCTTGTCCCCTAGAGTACAGCAGAGGGTGCAGGCAGAGACAGGATGTCCCACTCCCTTCCGCCAGGCTGCGGGACAGCTGTGGCTCTTCAAGTCCTCCTTCAGTTTTCCTTGCTCCCCACCCCCCTGTCACTGTTCTGCTGTTCTTCTCTTCACCACTTCCCTCCTCCTCCTCCTTCTCTTTCTCCAACTGGCAAAGGAAGCGTCCGTGCCACTCCCCTCTAGGGTAACTGGAGCCCTTCAGCTGTTTGGGTCCCTGTTTAGAAGAACATCTCAGCATCACCTGGGGCTCCTGGTACAGCCAACCTCCCAGAAGGCTTCATCTGTCAGAGCAGGAACTGGCTTAGAATTCCTTACAAGAACACTGCAAGAGCAATTACAATAAGTTATCTTAGGTGATGAAAAAAGTCTCTCCAGAGGAGCCTCCGTTCCTTCCTGAGACTTCCACCTCAAAATAAAATTTCCCCTATACCAGTTTGGGGGTGGGGGTGGGCACTCACCCTGCAGCCCTGGAGGGTGTGCAGGGAAAAAGCTGTAAGGAAAGATGAAAAGGCAGTACTATTGCTCCAGAAAGAGGGTGGTAAAGCAGATCTAGGGAACAGGAGAAGAGTGTGAACATCTTAGGGAAGAACTGAGCTAGCCTCCACCTGCCAAGAGCTTCAGAGATGAGGGGCGGTGGGGGGACTGGCCTAGGTGAGTGGATGGTCTTTTTTCTTTTCTCTCTTTCCTTCTTTCCTCCATGCCTTTATTTCCTTCTTTTGTATCTCTACTCAATCTTAAACCCCTTCTCCAAAACAAGTTATTTAGAAATAATTTAATATCACCAGTCTTGCCCCAAGCTATTTGAATAGGTTTCCCCAGGACAACTAGTGGTGTAAAAAGTCAACAACTCCCATAGAAAGTGCATCACCAAGAGGGAACTCTAGTGTACACTGTGGAGGAAGGGCAATGACGATGCGTCAGTGGACTACAACCAATGAACCACGTGGTGTGGGATGTTTATAGCTGGGGAGGCTATGCTGTGTATGAAGGCAGGGAATATGTGGGAAATCTCTGTACTTTCCACTAAATTTTGCTATAAATCTTAAAATTGCTCTAAAAATATAGTGTATTAAAATATTTTTAAATTTCAAAAACTTTTTTGTAGAGCTAGAATCTTGCTATGTTGTCTAGGTTGCTCTCAGACTCCTAGCCTCAAGCAATCCTCCCACCTTGGCTTCCCAAAGCACTGGGATTAAAACATTTTTTAAAAGTCAACAACCGGTCGGGCGCAGTGGCTCATGCCTGTAATACCAACACTTTAGGACCATCTGAGGTCAGGAGTTCGAGGCTAGCCTGACCAACATGGAGAAACACAAGCTCTACTGAAAACATAAAATACAAAAAAATTAGCCGGGCGTGGTGGCACATGCCTGTAATCCCAGCTACTCAGAAGACTGAAGCGGGAGAATCGCTTGAACCTGGGAGGCGGAGGTTGTGGTGAGTTGAGATCGCACCATTGCACTCCAACCTAGGCAACAAGAGTGAAACTCTGTTTCAAAAAAAATAAATAAAGTCAACAACCACTGCCAGGAGACAAATACACACCATACCCACTTGCACAATGCAGCTATTAAATAAACAAAGACATGAAAGGGAAAGAAACAAGGACTTTCAAGACAGTCCCCAGGGTCTAATATCAGCAGGCACCTAGTCATCGATGTGTGGACAAGGAGCCTTGGCTGGGGGCCGCATGCCCTTGCCTGGTGCCAGGATCCTTTGGCATTATCATTTTACACAGGGAGATGCAAGAATGTCTTTATAATCCAAGGCTTGGGCCTCCCCTCCTTGATCCCCATGGGGGAAGAAATCTGAGGACAGAATGAGCCTGCCAGCCATGTCCTCCTGACATTGCAAATCTGGCCAAGAGATGGGGCTGAACTTGCAAATCCCTCTGGGGCTATTCTCAGAAACCAAGTGATGGGGAAACTTGACCTCAGCTGATCTACCTGACACTCTGGGTTTCTCTACTGACCCTGACCAAGGTAATGTTATTATCCATCATACTTTATTCATCAGATATTATCAATCATGTATTATTACAAACTCAGCACCCATTGATTACTTACTGTGTGTCAGTCACAATACTGAGTCCTTCACATACATTCTTTTACTTGCTCCTTTTGTTCCTACTTAAGAAATAGGTACCATATTTATCCCTATTTAATAATGAGCTTGAGGACTGAGGTTTGGAGAGAGTAAGTAATTTGCTAAAACCACGAATATTAAAGTTTGGAGCTCAGAAAGCTACCCAAGTCTTCCATGCACCAAGATCCACATTCTTCCTTCCTACATCCCACTTTTGGGGTTTCAGTGGTATTAGAGCCATAACAATGAGTGGGAGAGAGAGCCCTTTGGGTTTTACTAGTCAGTTGCATCTGTTTCTTAGTGTCCAGAGCTGGATTAACTGAAGACCCTTTGACTCCCACCTCTACCTATCTCTCCAGATTCTTCTAGGCTCACTCTCCCTGCCATAGCCTATACAGCAGCCTCCCTGGACCACTGGCTTTTCTCTAGACTTATCAAGCTTTCCTACCACTCCATGAGGTATTTGGTACTCGTGTGCTTCCACCTCCTGGGAATGCTCTTTCTCTATTCTCTGTCCACAAAGACTTCTTTCTTTCTTTCCTTTTCTTTTTCTTTCTTTCTTCCATTCTTTTTCTTCTTTCTCTTTTTCTCTCTCTCCCTCCCTTCCTTCCTTCCTTCCCTCCCTCCCTCCCTCACTTCTCTCTCTCTTTCTTTCCCAAAGTCTCACTCTGTCACTAGGCTGGAGTGCAGTGGCATGATCTTGGCTCACTGCAACCTCCACCTCCCAGTTCATGTGACTCTCCTGCCTTTGCCTCCCTAGTAGCTGGAATTATAGGCACCCGTCACCATGCCCAGCTAATTTTTGTATTTTTAGTAGAGACAGGGTTTCACCATGTTGGCCAGGATGGTCTCGATCTCTTCACTTCATGATCCACCTGCCTTGGCTTCCCAAAGTGCTAGGACTACAGGTGTGAGCCACTATGCTCGGCCTATGGTAGTTTTAAGCTTCTTTCATTGCCACTGAAAACCAAAGTAGGCCTGCAGTTCAACTATCATGGCTGTTGTTTTGAGGGGGTGAGGAGGTTTTGTGGAGGTTCATGACTTTAAGAAACCTTTTGATTCTATTCTTTATTAAACCTGATGCTCTTGAAAAGTGATCTTACCACAATTATTGCTTCTATGAATGAACTGTCTCTTCCATACGCTAAAAACACCGTGCCAGTAGGGATTACTTTGAATGAGTGTAACACGGGCTTCTCCATGAGAGAATGCAAGAGAAGAGCCAGATGGGAGCCCTGGAATTAGTACAACAATAAACCCAGCAGCAGGGGAGGTAAAAGAGTGCCCCGCTAACATGATGGAATGCTTTATCTACATTCCAAAAGCTTAAAAGAGGTGCCGGCTTTGGAAAAACCACAGTGGTGAGGGCAGGGACTGGTCACACTGCATTCCCACTGTTGCCTGGGTAAAGTGTAATATACAATGACTTCTGGCTTCCTGCCTGCTGAACCATGCTGTAGGAATTATCTGAATTTACTGAGCTGCTTCCAAAAGTTCCAGACATTTCCTATATGCGATTGCACTTAACTGTACAATGTTCCTCCAGAAAGGAAGTGCCCTGTTCTTACTTCATTCAATGAATGGTGACACTAAACCATGGAGACAGAGAGATTTGAGAGAAGCAGGCTCAGCACAGACTAACATCTAGGAGATGATGGGGTTGTCTTGGCCATTCTGGTTCTGCTGCAAAATGGCTATCAGATCAGAGATAAGGCATTCAGTTACTCAATGAAAATCCATCCACACATTCATCAGTTTGAATCATCTGTATGCCTGTATGTGCTGGTCATGGAAGGAAGATAGGCATGAAATCTACCCTTCTGGAGCTAACAGTCTTTCAGCTGATTGCTTTAGTATGTGAAAGATGATGTAGGAGAAATACAGACATCTTTAAAAAATTATTTTGCCTTCTAGGAAACCTATGATCACCCACAATCCAAGCTCCTTCCTGCCCCAGGGCCTTTGCACTTGCTCTTCCCTCGGCCTGGAATGCTCTTTCCCCTCATTTTTGCATGACTGACACCTTCTACCATACAGATTTCAAGTCGAATGTGTTCTCCTCAAAAGATCTTCACTGAGCAGCCTCTCTCCTCCTTAGTCACTTTATCTCATCACTTTGCTTCATTTCATTCACTCTTTGGAATCATTGAACTTATTTGTGTATAGTATTTATTTATCCTGCCTCACACATTTGAAGATAAGCTCCATGAGAACAAAACTTATTTATATCCCCAGAACCTGAAGAGTGCCTAGAATGTAGTAAGTGCTCAACATACATCTACTGAGGGCAGGTACAATACCACCTTTCGTAGAGAAGAATCTTATGAAGAGACAAGTTTTTGCAGGCATGCAATGGAGACTCAGCACTGTTGATGGGGTTGATCGGCAAATGAAAATCTAGATTTCTGAAAAATCCAGATTTGGATCTGGATCATGATGAAGAAAATCAATGAACATGGTAGGCAGCACATGAGGGCAAGTTAGCAGAGCACGAGTGAAGACTCAGAAGAAGAAAGGAATTTTAATAAGGAAAAGCACACCAACGTGGCTGGGGGCAAGAGTTCATGGGAGAAAGCAGTGAGAGATGAACCTGCAAAAAGAGGGTGGACCAGCCCATGAAGGGGCAGGCTTCAGTGCCAGTTGCAGAAATTATTATTCCAGATGGGAAAGGACTCAAGAATATCCAATTGCATCCCTACTGAATAAAATCCATAGTTTTTTTTTAAAGGAATATCCATCTGAATTTCTCAGATAACACCATATAATACTTAGATCTTCTTTTCCTACTTAGAATGAAGTACATCCATGGGAGGCTAGAGAAAGGAGAAATAAATCCACCTGTCATCAACTTGTCCAGAGCTCTCTCAAACCTGCTACCAGGTGAGCATCAGTGAGCACCTGGGTGGACCGAGAGAGGAGAGGTTGACAGTGCTTCCCTGGGAGGCCTGTGTGCAAGGTGTCCATGGAAAAGGCAGGTACACCACATTTAATCAGACTTACTACCCAAGAACCATAAATCTATTGGCAGCTCTGGGACTTAATAAAAAGTAGGTTACCAAGGAGCTTCCTTTTTATGAGAGCTGGCTTTGCCATTTAAGACAATTTAAAGTAAACTTAAATAAGGCAAATAAAAACCTTCATGCTGCAACCACTTCGGAAGAACAGAATATCGATTAAAAATCTCTCAGTGGAAAGATAATCTTTCCTTGCCATTTTCTTCTTCTTTTAATATCTATATCTATATATCTGTCTTTATAGCCAAGTGGAAAACACTGAAAAGGGTCTGTGTGCATGGGAAGAGAGAATGACACTGCAGAACTTAAAAAAAGCACCTGATGATGCCTAGGAGCACACGTGTAACGCCTGAAGCTTCCTTGACAGATCAGCTTCTGTTTGCAGCTCAGCAAACCATATGCTACATTCACTCACTCCTCAAGAATCATCTGCTCCTTTCCAAGTATTAAGATGTCAGCGAAAATCTACCTTCTGGTGAAATTTAATCTGCAAAAGAGCTGCTGGTGCTCATAAAAATAGCTGTCAGACATTATGACTCCTCTGAGACACGTACGACGAAGAAGGGGTCATGGACCCCAGGGCAGGAGAGCAAAACTACTTAGAACCCTTAAAGACTGGGCAGCCCAGAAGTTCTCAACCTGGGGTCAGGAAGCCCTAAGCGGTCTATGAGTGGGATTCAGGATATCTGGAAATTCCCTCAAATTGAACAAAAATGTTCATTCATTTGTGGGGGAGGGGAAACTTTTGTCAGATTCTCAGAGGTTCATGAACAAAAATGATTAAGTGTATCATAATATACCATCAGTCTAGTACATTATTTCCACAGATTTTTTTTTACTCCCCAAAATTATTTTTTAATGCTCAAAAAATACTTGGATACTGAATCTTAGCAGAAATTTAAAAATTATAGAAAAAGCGGAGGTCTCTTTGTCCACACCTCCATTCCAGAACTGTCTTCCCCCAGCACGTTTTACATAGACCGCAATGCTGTATTTGATCCGTGTGTGTGCAACTTGCCTTTGCATTGCACAGTGTCTCGGGGGCAGTTCCACACAGGCGCATGGAGAGCCACCTCATCCTTGTCCCTTGCTGTCTAGTACTCCATAGTCAAGCTGGGCTCAGGGTACGCAGGCATTCCTCTACTGATGACACTTCAGCTGTTTCCAGTTTCCTCCCATTACAAACAGCATGATGAGCATGATGCATATGAGTATCTTTTATTCATCATTTTATGCACTAGTACAAGTGCATGTATATATGTATGTGTTTTTTTGAGGTAGTGTCTCATTCTATGGCCTAGGTTGGAGTGCAGTGGCACAGTCTCGGCTCAGTGCAACATCTGCCTGCCAGGTTCAAGCAATTCTCCCACCTCAGCCTCCCAAGTAGCTGGAACTACAGGTGTGCACAGCCACACCTGGCTAAATTTTGTAGTTTTTTGGTAGAGTGGGGGTTTCACCATGTTGGACAGGCTGGTCTGGAACTCCCAACCTCATGTGATCTGCCTGACTTGGCCTCCCAGTCTTGGAATTACAGGTGGTACAAGTGTTTCTTCAGCAGAGAGGACAAGACGGGGAATTGCTTGGTCCTGGGATGTGCACATTTATAATCTATAATTCAACTGACAAGCTCTCTATAAAGTGGTTTACCACTCCACTATTTGTATATAAAATATTTTCCTGTCTCCTACTGTCACACTGGATATTATTGATCACTTTAATTTTTGCCAATCTGAAAGATTAAAAAGTGTATATCATTGTTACTATATATATATATTTTTTTGAGACTGAGTCTCACCCTGTCGCCCAGGCTGGAGTGCGGTGGCATGAGCTCAGCTAACTGCAACCTCCACCTCCCAGGTTCAAGCGATTCTCCTACCTCACCCTCCCAAGTAGCTGGGATTACAGGCATGTGCCACCATGCCTGGCTAATTTTTGCATTTTTAGTAGAGCCAGGATTTCGCCATGTTGGCCAGGCTGGTCTCAAACTCCTGACCTCAGGTGATTCGCCTGCCTCAGCCTCCCAAAATGCTGGGATTACAGGTGTGAGCCACTGTCCTGGCCCTCATTGTTACTTTCTATTATATTTTCCTAAAAGTGGTTGAACATCTTTGCATATGTTTATTGGCTATTTGTATTTCCTTTTCAGTGAATTGCTTGTTCTGAGAACAGTTCTTCTCACACATCATACATCAAAATCATCCAGAGAGTTTAAAACACAGTTTCTGGGCCCCACCTTCTGGGCTTCTGATTCAGTGAGTTTTGGGTGAGGTCCATGAGTTTTCATTTCTATTATGTTCCCAAGTGATACTAATGCTGGTGGTCCAAGAACCAGACTTAAAACCCACTGAACTAGAGAAACCGTCTCATGCATAACCTCTCCATGGTTTTAGCTCAGTGGTTCTCAACCCTGGTTGCACATTAGAACCACCTGGAAAGCTTTATAATGGTACTTGTGCCATCATTAGTTTTGAGTCCCACCCAAAACTAATGATGCCCAATGCCCTTCCCATCCATAGTTTTTTAAGCTCCCAGGTGGAACCGATGTTCAGCCAGGACTGAGAACCATTGCCAGCTGATACCAGTTGATTAAAGGAGGGCAAAGTCCTGTGTTCTATTTCCTCTTCCCTTGCAGCATATCACAGTTGTACAATGCTTGGTGGGGACCATCTCAAAACATTCTTGCCCTGTGTTTTACACAGAGGCACAGTCCCGTGAATTTACACCAAAAAACCTTTTATTAGTTCAAAATGTTTATTGTGTATTCTGTTTGGGGACAACCCAATATGGTAGGCCTTTAGACCCTGCCTCTTATTTCAATTCTGCAATTACCAGCTGCATAACACATATACTGTGATTAAGCTTTCATTTGTTCATCCTCAAAATGGAATTCAATAAAGCTACCTGATAGGCTTGTGTAAATAAAATGAGATGTATTAGGTGCCACAGACAGACAGTGTGTAGTCCAGCAGGAATCCAACAAATCCACACTTGGATCCCTTCCCGCTTTGTGATTCATTTGAGATAAAAGTCTGGCTTCTGGATCGCCTCCTCACAAATGGCACAACTCTACTTTTGCCCATTTTGAAGAGCAATTGCAAGTCTTTTTCAGGTCTCCAACAAAAATCTTCATACTACTCTTAAAATTTAATTACCTAGGCAGCTTCACTTTTACCTAACTGGACAGAAATACACTTAGAAAGACAGGCTGTAGGCTGGGCATGGTGGCTCACGCCTGTAATCCCAGCACTTTGGGAGGCTGAGGCAGGCGGATCACGAGGTCAGGAGTTTGAGACCAGCCTGGCCAATATAGTGAAATGCCATCTCTACTAAAAATACAAAATATTAGCTGGGAGTGGTGGCGTGTACCTGTAGTCCTAGCTGCTCAGGAGGCTGAGGCAGGAGAATTGCTTGGACCTGGAAGGTGGAGGTTGCAGTGAACCGAGATTGTGCCATTGCATTTCAGCCTGGGCAACAGAGTGAGACTCCAGCTCAACAACAAAAAGACAGGCTGTAATAAAAATATTTTTGTTATGGAATGATAAAGGATAATTAATCAACATTATTGACTTTCTATTACATGCATGGCTCTGAAGAAGTTCCAAGAAAGATACCAATCCCATCCTCAATAACTTGTAATGAATTTAGGTAGACTTGGAACATAAAGACAACTGACAAAAATCAGGTAACCACAGTGGGAAGTTACAACAAACTCAAATGAGTTCCAGAAAGTGAAAGAGAAAGGTCCCTTAGAGCAGGATGGTCAGGAAAATGTTTAAAGACTTTGAAGAAAAAGCAGAATGTTGCTAAGTAGAGAGAAGAAAAGTTTCTGTTGAGAAATGTGGAGTAATCAACAGCAAAGTAACTGAAGTACTGAGTACTTTGCAGGGCGAGGGGTAATCCAGAGGGATAACCAGATACATTGATGAAGGGGATGGTGAAAAGCACAGCTGAGAAGACAAAGCATGAGAACAGCTTGAGGAGGCCTTGAAGACCAGAGAGGGCATTTGGGTGTCATTTGATACACTGGATTTTTGATAGGAGTTACTTTGTTTTCCTGAGATTGAAGATAAACATGATTAAATTACTTTCATTTTATTATTTGCGTTTTTTAAAGTTTAATTTTTTGGTGAGTGCAATTGTGTAGCCCAAAACAAAAAAAGGAATTATAGTAAAGAGTGCCCTCCCACCCCTGTCCCTCAGCCACCTAATTCTGTTCTTTGGTGTCACTGGTATTACCAGCTTTTTATATATCCTTCAAGTGGGCTTTCCACATTAATACGGTCAATTCTCACTGTTTGCAGTAGTTCTATAAGGTTACCATGGATGCTGAATTAGTGAATACAGAACCATTGCTCCTAGCGGAAATAAAGGGTTCAGTTCCTGTGAGCCTCTGGTCACATTTTCATCACCTGACCAATACATAACTTTGTCTCATGTGTTGCTATTTAAAGACAGTTATATATTGTTTATTTATTAACGCTGAACTCGTGACCAACAACACTGTAACACATGCCTGAACAAAGCTTGTCTAACATATATATTTTCTCCACAAGACACATCACAGCCTTCTTACACTTAGGGACACTGGGAAGAGCTTCAGCACTACACTTGGGAGCCATTTGTAAGTCACCAACAAAATGCACAAAAATGCAGGAAAAAAAGGTAGTACTAAATAGACCACAAAAGGAAATTCGTTTATACCATGAGAGCCAAAACAAGAAGGCCAAATGCCACCTTGCTTGACCTAAGCTGAGAACATGCAGGTTCATTCACTCAAATTTTTCTCCATCTTGCACATGGCCTCAGATGATCACCGAAGTTTATGAGTATTGATTTGGAGGTTATGGATAAATTCTGACAACTAGATGAATTCACAAATATGAAATCCTCAGACTATAATATGCCAGTCATTTGAAAGATATCATTTGTCCCCACTTTCACATAAATGATGAAGGCTATGATTAAGAAAGGTGGATGATAAGCATGATGAGGGTGAAGGGACATGGGTAGGAGCACAACCACCCTCGAAGCACAGAGCTCTGTAAAGGAGGACAATGACATTGATGTTTGCCATTGAGTCACCAGGAAGAGTGGCTGTACTGCCAGCATGAGAGGCAGGGGCCATGATAGGCACTGCATAGGGCAGAAATTCAAAACCTGGGGGCAATTCCACCACCACCCCTGCCCCTTCGGGAGACATTTTGCAATGTCTGGAGATATTTTTGATTGTCACATCTCAGGGGAGGTGGGTGCCACTGAGAGGAAAGGGCAGAGATGCTACCAACATCCTACAATTCACAGGCTTGCCCCCGCAACAACTTGTCAGCAGTACCAAGGTTGAGAAGCCCTGAAGAGGAAGATCAAAGTTACTTTGTTTACTCTGCTATGGCATCTTGTTCAAAACGTATTTAAAATATATTGAAATATATTTCAATTGTTACTTCTAGTCAATCTGCTGACAGGTCATTATCCACATAAGTCACAATTTATAGTTCAGGGTTTGACATATGAATGGCAATCCAAAAACACATACATAGGAATTAACTTTAGGGATTCATACTTTCTGTTACACTTTCTGCATTTCCCTTTTCAGGCTTGCACTGCTGACTCAATAGATTTCCTTATTTTATCACTATGTCCTCAAAACAGTCACCAGCAATGATACTGAATGAAGTTGACATGAACTCATTTAATGCAGTCTGAGACTTCACATGCTACTGATTCCATCGCCAGACCAGCAGAAGTAAGAGACGAGACTGTCGTCGTTGTTTTCCACACAGGTATTTACCTCAGGACAGCATCAAATGTCTAAGTGATAAAGATACCACGACTGACTACTCACTTAAAGGGATGCATTAATAGTGTGTATATAAGAAATAATATGCTAGGAGATAAAAACTGTTCTAGGAAACACTATTCTTACTCTCTTATGAGAAATTCCTAGGGTTTTGAAAATAATTTTATCTGCCTTAAATGTGAATTTAAGCAAACATCTAACAATGTATCTTGGACATCTGACTCAGAAGCATGCTGTATTGTGATATGAATCACCTGGGGATCTTGTTAAGTGCACATTCTGATTCAGCAGCCTGCGGCATGGCCAAAAATTCTGCATTTTTAATAAGCTCCCAGCTAGTGCTGATGCTGCTGGCCAATGGACCTCTGAGTACCACCAGATTGTAGAGGATTCTAAGTAGCACTTTGTTAGAATTGGTCACTATTTTATAGCCACAGGGTCATAGTATCTAGTATTTATAAATCGCTTCCATTCTCTCACTTCTTCATTATGCAATGAGACAGAAATCTTGAGTCTTTGCTCCTTTGAGGATCTAGAAAAAAGAAATATTTATATGAGCTGAAGAGGAATAGAGGATGTTTATAGATAATAATCATTAGGTACTTTTCTTTTGAGACGGAGTCTCACTCTGTTGCCAGGAATGCACTGGCGTGATGTTGGCTCACTGTAACCTCTGCCTCCCAGGTTCAAGCAATTCTCCTGCCTCAGCCTCCTGAGTAGCTGGGATTACAGGTGCCCACCACCACTCCTGGCTAATTTTTGTATTTTAAATAGGGATTTATTCTCCTCGACTACCATTAGATTAAAAAGATTCACATTTCTCTTTGAATTTCATGTCATAAAAGAATTGGCTAATCGAACTGATTTGAAAACTTAACGTCCACACAAAAACCTGCATATGAGGGTTGATACCAGCTTTATGAAA